CCGGTGACTCACGGCGCCGCCCAGACCTGCAGCGTCGGGCCGGGGTGCGCAGCGGGAGAGGCGGGGAGAGGCTCAGGTTTCACCGGTGCGGGTCAGCTTTAACCCTGCGGGGAGCGGGGCGCAGCCCCGGAGCCCCAGGCGGACGCTCGGCGGAGTGCCCTGCCGCCCGGGGGTGGGGTGGGGGCCAGACCCGCAGCGCGCCCTGCGCTTCTCCAGTCTCCTTCCTTCCTCTTGATCCTCTCGCCCCAAATGTTTTCTTCTCAGTGATTAGATAGATGGACATTTTATCTGCGCAACACCAACTACATCTGTAACCCTAGATATCCGACTGAGAAGGATCTGACTTGCGACAATATCATATTTCAGTTTCAACCAATTGGGGGTGGGGAGAGGAGGAGGGGTTCAGGTAGGACCTCTGGTGCGCAGAAGCGTGTTCCTGACCCTCCCAGACCCAGGCAGGCCCTGCCTCTGAGATGCCACCATTGTACTTTGTACTTTGTACTTTGTACTAACTCATTCTCTTATCTGTTTACATGCCTGCCTTCCTCTCTGACTCGAGAATTGACAGCAGAGGCCGGGTTTTATATTTGGCTCACTGTTATCGAGCATGCAGCCGAGTTCATGGGCATTTTATGGATTCACAAGTGGAATCTGACGAAGGCTCAGTTCTGACTCGAAAGCCAGCCTCTGGCTGCCTCTGCTAACTTCACTTCTGTCTGCCACAGTCCACCCCAACTAAACCCATCAAACCCCACTACACTAGTCTCATTTACTAACAGGGGTATCTCCAAATAAAAACCACCTGTCTGCATGCAACAAGCACCTCGAATCTCCAGTGTCTTGGCCCTGCTCTGTCACCACCAGTCTCCTGAGGTGTGGTGGGCTCGTGGGGTGGAAGCGGGAGCCGCCTCTGGGGAAACTAGTTATCAGTGTTAGCACCTCCAAGGCCTCCCGTCAACCATGAAAAACATCATATTTTACTTTGTGTCTCCAAAGATTTCTTCTAAATCCCTTTAAAATTTAATTCTCTGTAATTCAGTTTGGTACTCTCCAAAGAAGCAATGTACTACTTTGCTTTATTCCGTTCACTGCACTTTCTTTTTATTTTTTTAAAAAAGATTTATTTATTTATTTATGTATACAGAACTGGGGTACAGGCCAGAGGTGCAGGGTCCGTGAGAGGATTCACCAGAGACAGAGTGGGGAGTAGAAGAGGCAGATTGACGAAATACACTGCTGAGGGGAGCAGCGGGCGGGTCAGGAGAGGTCTGCCACGCCATGTGGTCACCTCCGGGGCAGGGATGGAACTCTTGCTTAAGTGGCTTTAGCTTCTTAGTGCTGTGTTTTAACCAGCTGTGCCACCAGGGAGGGCCCTGGTCACTGCACTTTCTGAGGATGAATGAAAGTACTGAGAAAGCGCCTGAAGCCACATAAAAAAAAAATTTCCCCAACCTCATTTTACATCACTCAAGTTCACATATTTTCATTTGAAGCCAATATTTTTACTTTCAAAGAATAGCACCAAGAATGGGGCATTTACTGCCGACAGTATAGCTCATAAGAAGAAAATGGCTTTGAGAGCTTTCAAATGTAATGACAAATTTTAGCTATGAATAATGTGTTTGTGGGCAAAAGCATTTATCTATAGACCAAATAGTGTTAACATGAGTAAAATGGTTTCAGACAAACAAAGAGCTTTGTTGCAGTCTTTATAGCTCCGAATAATTTTGGATGAGAAGAATTTTTTTTTTCTTACTCCAGTAGATGTGAGGAAAAGAGCTTATAAGTGCTGAGGTAAAAGCAAGACAGTAACTCTTCAGAATTTCTGAAAATGACTACATAGAGCCCGCTGGGCTCTAGTGGAAATGGGCCAAACTCGGGATTCACAGACGCGGAGCCAGATAGTTCCGAGTCAGCTCTGTGTTCGCACCACCTTAACTTTTGTGTCTCCGTTTCCTCTTCACCACCTAGTGTGTAATGAGCTAGCATATCATATACATGATTGCATGCTCAGGATAGTGCACGTAGTGACCTTCAACATAAGGATCAGTGGTTGTGATGGATGATGATGGAAGTGGTGGTGACAATTTTTACGTTAATAAAATTGCAAAGAGGCCTTTTCATGGTTATAAAGAGAAAATTATATATATATGACTGTTAACTGTACATCACTAAGTTGTCATAGGAAATGCTATCATTCACTTTAGTAACAATAAAATGACAGATTGCAAGGGATCGTATACAGTTGGCTAGTACCCCCTGCTGGAGAAAATAGGGATTGCAGCGCACCTGGCAATGAAAAATATTCCTGAAAGTTTTCATTATTAGAAATTGAGGAGCAGAGGATTGTGTATATGTGTGTGTGTGTATTTATGTATGTATGTATATATACACACAATACATATACACACTATGTATACACACACACACAATACACTAAATCCTCACTTAAAATTTGCTCTTAGAAAGCTTGACTTTAGACTTCAACTGCTAGAGATTTTTTTTTTCTTTCTCACTAATTCTCCATTCACCTCTCCATTTATCCTGCTCTATTTAAATGGCTCATCTTCCTCCACACTGCCCTTTCTCAGTGTTGGATTCTTTCCTTGTGCCATCCTTCCATTCTTTCTATACATTTCCTTTATGGTACATGACCCGTTCTCATGATTTCAACTCCTCCCTACACACTCATGACTAGCAAGTCGATATCTTTAGCCCACACTTCCTCCAGGTTTCAAAATTTTATATCCAACTGGAATTCCACTGGATTCTCTCTCAAAGAGCGTAGCCTCATCCAGGACAGAGTTCAAATTGCCCTGTCTTCACAAACCTCCTCTAAAATTAAAACACCAAGATCATTCTTAATTGATCCAGTGGTTGAAAGCTTCCCCACCTAATTTACCTCCAGCTGTCTATCAGGGCACACTCCCTGCTCCATCTCTACTCTTCCTACCCAGGCTCATTTCCCTGTTCTGCACAACGCCTCTAACTACTGTTCCCAGCTCCCACTGTTCCCTTGTTCCCCAACTCACAAGGTTTCCACAGGACTATGAAGGTGGTCCAGCTAAATGTGAATGTGACCTCCACACTCTCCCTCTTCATCTCTTCTGTGATCAAGAATGATATTGCTGTGGGCGACACACAGTTTCCCCCATGGCCTGGAAGCTGTCAGCCTTTCCAGTCCCTTCTGTTACTTCAACTTTCCCTTCTTTCATGTTCTCAACTATCACAGTCTCAACTATCACAGTCTGATTCGGCTCTTAGGCCTGCATTTAAACTGCACTTCAGATCGGTGACATTTCAACTGACACGGCAGGTGGATCTATATAAACTTTATGCAAACCCTGTGTGGTGTTCAGCCTGGTGGGTGACTTGTCTGCCACATTGCCCCCAATGCTAAACCAGTTGACTTCCTTTTTCATTCTCTTTTACTATTCACATCCTCCCTGGGTAATTTCATCCATTAAAATTTAGAAGTTAGCCTTCTCTGTCCCACATTCACAATACTAACTTTGTCTTCATCCCTGGTGTTATTTCTGGAATACCTTACTTCCAGGTCCCCTCACTATTCACCTCATCACTTCCTTCTGATGTTTTAATGTCTGCTTCAGACAACATGCCCCTTAAGGAAACCTCCTTAGCAATTTCCCTGTATTCTCACCCCAACCTAAGGCTCTTTCCTTGGCTTCTAGAACACTGGAAGCATTTGTACTCATCATATTGTTTTATAATAATTTCCTATGTCTCCATTCAACTCTGAGATCCTTATAGACAGTGCCCATGTCTTGCTCATCTTTGTGTCCCCAAAGACACCTTTTCTGATGTGCGTGTTAAGGATTGTTTGATGATATGTGAATAAATGAATGAGTGAATGTTTACGTCAATAGCAATCTGTGGGACGTGGATTCTCTGAACATCAGTGTATTCATCTATGTGTTGAAGTGATTAAAAAGTGAGCTGTGTGAAAACATATAGCTCTAATATATTATGAAAGCATAGATAAATGCAAAACAATTCTAAGAATTAAAATTGAAATGATATATTTATTCAGAACAGTAGGTGGCAGTAGAATATTGATTTCAGCATAGCATTTCCAAGATTTAAAATTGATCACATCTCCATTTAAAAACTAATGTTAGTCACATAGAGATATGTTAGAAGCCTCTGTTCTTTAATCAGTAATAATGTGTCCATTTCATTAATGTATGCAGGTACCTTACTATGTCTGATGTTGATACTTGGGGAAATTGGGTCCTGGGGCTTGTGGGAATTATGTACTCTCCCCAACTTTCTGTATATGTGAAAATAATTTAAGAATTAATTTTTAAATGCCTTTATATTGCCTGGTGTATAGCTTTCTTCATACAAATAGGCCAATATGAAAACCCCAATGTAACTCATTTTCTTCAGAGAAAATTAAATATACAACTCCAAAATATCAAGTTAGTTGAGTTCTAAAAGTAAGTTTTAGATAGCCAGAAATAAGTTTTTTGTATATAAATACAGTATATAAGTAGGTGCCATTTATTTTGTTGTGATTATAAGTTGATTCTTTATTTATTGCATACTTATTTAGAAAATTGGAAGACCAAAAACTATAAAGACATAATAAAAAACACCCACAGATAATCTCTTATTTTCATCCAAAGGCAACTACTGTTTGTTTTGTTTTAGACATTTTTCCCTGCATGCTCTCACAGTTGAGATCCTCTCTGTTTTTAGAATTCTTTTGGTTTCTTCCTAGCCCTTTGCAGTTTTCTTCCCTCACATCTGAACTCTGCCCTGTGGCTCGCAAGCATAAAGGCATAGCTCTGACCCCCTTCCCCCCTCCACATTCTGGTTTTAAATGAACTTAGCTAG